GAACAATGTAAATACACAGGTAGAAAGAAAAACACCTTCAGGAATTCTGACTCAGGAATCCAGGAATTGTTAAGAGATTACAGACAGTCTTATAAATATGAAACAGCTTACCTGTTAGAGAGGCATAATTACTAAGATAAAACATTTAACAACAATTATATTTCATATGCAATACAGTGTGCCACACTGAGAAATCGTTTCAACTTATTCTATTAAAAAAAACTTTTTGGTGAGAACACCAAATTCGTATTTGTATTTTATTGTGTATAAATTTATCAATATATCTCCAGTCTAGAACTTGCCCCTGAAATCCTGAAATATCTTCAACTGCCTAGTCAAGAATTGAAGAACAGTAAAAAGAAAAAGGAACCTCAAGCCAAATAGCCATGACACAGACATTATGGTGTGAGCTTCTGCTTTTCCTGTAAAATAGGAGTAATGACACCTCTCCTGCAGGATTGTTGTGACCCTAACACTAGCTAATGTACACAAAAGATGTGGAGCAGTCCTATATCCAGACTAAAACCTTTAGCAATTTCCTGGTATTAAGGTGATATAATTTTAAATATCCATGCATAGTTTCTGAAATTTACAAAATAACTTGAAAGGTTTTACAAACAACCATTAGTCTTAAACCTTACAAGCATTGGTTCTTTTGGGGAAAACTTTTACCTATATAGCAAATAGTACATAAATATTCACAATTATTATTAGCATAAGAAAATAAAAGTTAAAAAATAGAAATAGTTCTATTTTTTATGGAATAACTAACTGGAAGCAAAATTCCCCAGGTTTAATCATGTCACTGATCCTCACCACAAACGTAATTAACAAATACCAATGTTTTTCGTGATATACATACTGACTACCCACAGCATTTTCTTCATCACACTGCCATATCAATAGGTTCTTTTTAGGTACTTTGTGACTTTACTGAGAAACATACTTCTAAAATTTGTCTTCTGATACAATCGGTTAATATTCCACAGAAAAATATTTTAAAGAATATTTTATAGCTAAATAAGAAGAATAAGTAAGTATAAGTAGTATAGTAAGAAATTTAGAAAACATTGGATGAACTTAATGATTCAGCTGATTTAGAACAGGAAAGTGAAAAAGGCATTTATAATATTTATGGTTTAGAAATAAGTATTTTTAAAAGCATGAAATAAGTTACCGTAAAGTTGTAAGACACAGATATGATATATGGCTTATATCAGACAAAATCCACATATACCTTCTGATAGTATCTTTTTCATTTAGATTTTTTTTGAAATTAATAAACTTTTCAAATTTTACCAATAAGAAATAAGCATATTGTCTAGTGGCTGAATAAACCATTCATAGGTCAAAGACAAAATAGGCTTAGAGAAAAAATATTATTTCGGTCTTTGGGTGCATATTTGTTAAAGTTTATTTCAATAAGCTTTGTATGTAATTGAGTTTATTAGTTAAATCTTGGAGCATACATTATTAAGGGTCTCAGGAGAAAAGCTTTAAGGGGAATATATGTTCATAATAAGGGTAAAACAAAAGGAACTTTGAAATATGAAGCTCTATGGAAATACAGATGACTTAAATGGCTTTCTAAAAGCTCTCACAGCTAAATTTCCATCTGCTTTCAAAAGGTTAAGATAAGTAGAAAGACACACACTAATTAAGGGCCAGAATAAAGTTACACACTTTGGGGGACATCATGTGTGACTCTGTATGTAACAAAATCAAGGTCATAAGTGTAATGTCTTTCAGTAATTCACTCTCCCAAACTGTTCAGGTACTGCCTGTTCCCCCACCTTTGGGATGCTTCACTCATATTTTTCA